GGGGGGGGGGGGGGGGGGGGGGGGGGGGGGGGGGGGGGGGAGATGAGTAATGCATGCAAATTTCTGCCCCTAAACACTTCAACACTCTCTTTTAGATCGTGTTTCACAAAAACATATACTAAGATAGTACAAAGTGACTTTTTGATATCATGAACGTATGCAAAGGATGTGAGCGTGAACCTTCCCTCAATCTGCACCCACACATACACCCACACCCATACCCACACCCACACCCACACCCACACCCCACACCCATACCCACATTCTTAAAATGCTTGGGTAGTACCTCTTAATGAAATCATAATGATATTTCTATGCCAAATGTATAGGATTTCAAGATGTGAATAACTTCGATCTCTTTTAGTTTTGAAACGTATAGTCGAAGCTTTCTAAAACTTTCTGTCTTTGCAATTTTTGAAGGCATAGTGAGAGATATCTATGCACAAAAATGGCTCCGACGACTTTCGGAATAGTGATGGGCCGTAAGAGGTTCGTAAGAAACGAAATGTTACGTAAGAAAATACGAAGTCACGGAAGAGTAACAGAAGAGTCTAGTAGATCGGGGTAGGGATCTATTTTCGCATAGGTTTCGTAAATATCGTTTCATTTACGTGAGTTTTCGCAAATTTCAAAATTTTAAAATTGCTGGGCGGCCCATCACTATAATCACCATCACTTTCTTGTTTTTTACACTTTTACACACAATCTAAAGTCAACATATACTATATCAGCTGACAATATAGATAATAAAATACAGTTTTTCAACCTACACGGACGCATACCAACAGAAGAAGTCATTTTTGTTTCATTCAAATTCGCTTCCGATCGAGCGAATTTATTTCTTTTAATGTTGTTTTCCGTCCAATATACTATTCAAGTATTGTATCCCTACAGAAAGAATGTTCTCATACGATACACGAAAATATTTTTCAGTTTTTTCTCATTTTGGGTCTCTACTGAAACCTGTCAGATCTAGACCGTTGACGTTTTATCGTTGAATCGTAATAGTTTGACGCCCTCCTTGAGGGAATTTTCCAGTAGAGCGGCTACTTGCTCGTCGGCGTTCCTCGAAGGTGTCATTCGCGGCTAGTCGCTACCACGTGTAATCCTATTCTCCCATAAGATAATCCTCTTTGATCCACATCCTATCGAATTCAAGGCTGCTCTTACTTCGAAAAATCGTTAGATTTATAACACGGGAACTCTTGATGAGCGGTCTTGAATAGACACTTTGTTATTAACTATTCCTTATTTCTTCAACCTAATTGCCTAGCTAAAAGGTTAGAGCTTTATTCAAATTTCTGATTCAGGAAATCTCAGTGGGCTATTCACAATAAACCTAGCCTTCACATGGATCTTTTCTGAAGCAAAATAGAGTGCGTTTCCAATATTAGCGACCAGTCGTTCTTCCATACCTCTCTGGAGCACCCTCATGGCCACTCGCTTCATTATTTAAATACATTAAAACAATAGTTGGTTATTCAGCCTTTATCATAAAGGTTGTAACCTCATTTACAAGTATCTTTTTTTTATATTAGCTTTTAAGAGTTATCCAGAGCATATAGAAGTTACACAAGTGAGAATTCCTGAAAAACTATGCTAATAATTAAACATAAAATATCGTCGTTTTCCTCAAATAGCCTCTCTTCTATGAAATCCCCAGAGTCGAAAATTTTCAGAAATGACCCAGGGATTCGGATTCTCCACACTCGAGAACATTAGGCCAAACTTTATAAAGACTCATTACTTTCTTTAAAAAAGGCCTTTTTAGTAAAAAAAATCACTAGCTTAATTAGGGTTAACTTAATCAGGCTTAACAAGCCTTAGTCACCCTTGATATGGCTATACATGCACAAATCTACAAACACATTTTGTTTCATATGACTCTTCCTACAGTTGAGGGAAAAAAGAAACTAAAACCTAGCACTTTCTTTTTTCTCATACGTTTCTACAAAATCTGAAGCCAACATATACTGTATTGGCTGACATTTTTGTTAAAAAAGTACAGTTATTAAGCCAATATCAAATGAATCTGACTGACCATGTGCGTTGCTATAAAAAAAACCTGTTTCGACAAGAGTCACATACCCAAAACACCTGATTGGCGAAAGTCCCAGCTAGAAAAAATCATATTGGGTGAGACGACAGTATTCAAAACCTCCGATCGGCTGAACATATAGCAGAAAGTAATCATCAAATTTACTCTTGATTTCTATCTTTTATTGAGGACCTTTGACGTTCCCACAAGCATACAAACTCGTTTCATTGCATATCATCCTTGCTTCAGTCAAGGAAATCACCTCATGAAATGGCCCAAACGTCATAAAATAAAAAGCCTCATTTCTGTTTGGTCGACTTCCTAACTAATGGGAAGGTCATATGTAAAATCTGACCTCATATTCGGAATCCTGGCCCTCAATAACCTACAGTAAAAGTTCATCAAACGGCCCAAAAAGCTTAAAATAAAAAGCTCATTGCTGATTGCTCGGCGTTCAGGCCAATGGAAAGACCGGATGTAAAATCCGACCTCAGATTCGGATTTCCCAACCTCAATTACTTTTGGTAAAACTTTAGAAGTTACGTCTAAATAAACTTCACCTCTGATGTTTTTTTGACCTTGGCACACACATACAAACGCATTTTAGTTTTTTTCATATGACCCTTCTTACAGTCAAGGGAATAAAAAAATCATTATTTTCTTAAAAAACCTTTGTTAAGTGAAAAACATCATTTGAAAATTTTCAAAAACAACTGATGCCATTCGATTCTTCACCCTCGAAAACCCTTGGTCAAACTTTACAGGAGGTAGATGCAGAAAAGAACTGACCATTAATCTTTCAGAAGATGTTTCTTTGGCCTTGACACAAACATAAAAATGCATTTCATATTCATATGACCCTCCCTTCAGTCGAGGGAATGATAAAAGATAGATATCAATTGTTTTTTTTATCCATATCTTTATAGATGAACAGTTATATA